TCTGAACTTAAGGGTTATTATTTATTTTAATTAGGTAGATTTCAGTTTCGAGTTTCTACACTTTGCTCACGGTTAGCAGTAATTTCGTGATGCTAACGGGCCCAGAGAAGAGGGTAATCATCGACTCAGGATCTAATTAGGGCCGTTAGAAAAATATTCTCTCCGTTTCTACCATTGCGGGTCGAAAAATGAGGTGGAAGTGAAGACTTTCTCGTGCTTTTTTTATATGTATGTACGTGATAGTGAAAACAGCCGGGTTCTCATGAGCCTTTTTCTAAAAAGAAAATAGGACAAGGAGCAGCATGTTTTCTATTTTCCATAAGTTTTTTATTGTAATGTATGAAAATTTCAAGTATAATATTACCGGATTTTATATATTTATTAACAGCTATACTAATAGTAAATATTGTATAAATTTATTGCTAATTAACATATGAATTGAAACGTGTGTATAAAATTCAGCAGAGAACATATCTAGTAAGTACGTACTACTAAGTAGTGACTATCCTTAAGTATATACTCAACAAAAAAGAGTATAAGAGGGTGTAAAAATACCATCTCGACAGAAGAATGTTTAATATAGCCGGATTGCTAGCTGAATTATGAGTTGCAACCTAGCAGATCGAATTTTTTTCTATGCACAAGATAACGTTCATTTTCTTCGCTTGAATCTTGGTCTTTATACCCAGTACTTGCCAGTTTGTTTAGCAACTTACTATACTCTCCAACATTTCAGTGTACAAATATTCTGTTTTTTTTTTTATATAAGAGTTACAAATTTAAAGATATGGACCGTGCTTATTATTACTGTGTGTTTCATTGTTTGATGTAAATAGCATGTTTTAATATTCTCTGAGTGAAATTTGTTTTTTCTTGAAAGAACACGTCGTTGTCATTTTCTTTTTTATTGTTGCATGATTCAAATTCTTCTACAATTTATGTTAATTTCGTCCCAGATTAATTTTTCGTATACACGTAAATAGCATTCATGTTTATTTGTTAGTTGAGTGACGTTTTAAGAACTTTTTCTTTTCGTGTATTTACTACAGTGGAAAACGATTAAGTCCTCACAAAATATTTCTGAAAATATGTTCGTGTGGTCGAAAAAAATATTCCGAGTTGTAAAATTGTAATGTGTACTCATTACACATTTTTAATTATCACTATTTACAACACAAGTCAAATATCATTTAAAAGCACGTAATTAGAAAGCTAATAGTTCTTGGAAAATTCATTTTGAGACATTTAAAGGGAAAATACATAATATATCTATTAGGGTGGCCCAAAAAAAAACGAATATTTTTTTTTCGTGTCTTGTGAAAATGTGTTAGTTTATCATGTTTTAAGAGCAACCTCTAAAAAATTTTTTTGAGCTGATTTTTTGAGGGGTCTCTTAAAACATGATAAACTAACATATTTTCACAAGAGTTACGAAAAAAAATAAATTCTTTTTTTTTGGGCCACCCTAATATGTATGTACAATTGTATTTAATGTATTTATTATTATTTCTTAGTATTCTATCTGATATTTTTATTTCGAGTCGTCATACGTCATGCTCTTCAACTTTTCTCGCCGTTCTATCCCCCCTCATCCTTTGAAATAAGGTAACTAAGTATCACAAATTTACTTCTAGATGTACTCAATATATTTAAAAAGGATGTCAGGTGAATTGGTGAATAGAATTGAATATATTTGTAAACTTTTTTTTATGTTCAGTTGAGCAATATTATACTTTCGTTATTTGACAGAGCCGATGAAGGGGATATTACGTTTGTAAACAGTATAGCCAACGATGTTATTTTTTTAAACCTTCACATTTCCAAATAAAAAAACTTAACTTCATCTAACGTAACGTTCTTTATATCGAAATGTATTAGGTGTAACATTAGGTTAAGTCAGGTTAAGTTTTTCTCACATTAAATAGGAAAAACTTGACCTGACCTAACCTTTTATTTAAGCAGAAATTATAAGAATTATCTTTAGATTATATATTAGATTGGTTTTTAATTACAAAAAAAAAAAACCGTAATCTGACCTAATCTAGCTTCTTATTCAAAACTAATAATAATTCTAATTTTCACATAAGTTAGTGTTAGGCCAGGTAAATATTTTATGTAATATAAAAAAAACCTTCCTGACTTAAGCTAACTTTGCAGATGTAGATACATTTCTATTTATGTATATATAATTAGGTTGGGTCAAGTTATTTTATATAGTAATATAATTGAGTACACTATTTACAAACGTAACATCTCAGTCATTAGCTATGTTAAATTATTAGAGTATTTTATTGGGCAAATGAATATAATGCTAAAATGAATGTAGATATTTTCCTTGCTTATTCTTTTTGGTGCCCCTAGAAATAAGTTTGTGGTACTTAGTAACCTTATTATATTATGAAATGAAATACATAAGAATAATAGTAGATTGAGGACCAGGATTTTAAGAATCAGTTAATACTTGAATAAATAATCGGATGATTATACGTAACATGTCGGAAATGGGCAACTTGCATATATTTTTTTAAATTTATTAGAAATCTCTTAGAGGTTGTTAATTGATAATTAATTACTAAAGTATGGCGTGCGGAATGCATATTTTAAATGGCTGCCTCGCAAATTCGTGACGTCATTTAGTGTGATCATTAAACGAGAAGATGAATGACAGAGATATGACGGCCGATTAGGTTCCGTTTCGTCGGTATGGAAATTGTAAATTAGATGGTAGAAGGCCAAGAAGCAGACTGGATTCTCGATCGCACTAAATGACGACACAATGCTTTGTTGATAACTTGAGTAAATTACAATTTTTACATAATTTTAAACGTCTATAATCAATTAAACATCATGAAAGAAGTAAATTTTTTTGCCACTGTTGATTGTTGTCTGTTGTAGTGTACGAATTTATGCAAGTTGCCTATTATTCACAATTTAACTGTGCGGTCGAACCACATTCAACAGAAAAATATTTTCAAAATTCTAAACTGAAAATTTCTCACGACACTCATATCTTCAATTTACAACATTATTCGGTCTATACATCTTCCAAAACACATGCAAGTGGAAGTCTTAATATTTCCTGGTAAACGAATTTTCAGAAATTTAAGGGAAAATGTATTTATTAAATATAGACACATTTTAGGCAAAATTAGGCACATTTATTTATATTATTTTCTTTAATTTCGTATCATGCCACTCGCTTGAATGGGAAAGTAAATTTGCAGTTCTTAGTAACCTTACTTTAGACGTCAGACAAAAGAGAAATAGACGGCATGACGATCGGAATTGGAAGTTGTAGTTTAAATATGAAATGATATACAAAGAAATGTATTTTTCTTCGATTACACACGCACATAAAAAAAATTCCAAACCCAAGAGACCCACATATCATTTCCGAAGGAATTCAATCAGCTAAACACGATCCTGTAGCCAGAATTCATGACTTGTCGATGAATTTCTGAGAAATATTAAATTTTTGGGTGAAACATCCAAATATGGGTCAAAACTGTTTTTTTTCCTAAATTTTGTCCAAATAATCTTCGTAGTATTTTAAGGCGCTGAACACGATGCCATTAGTAATTTACTCATGACCTATATTAATCAGAAAATCAACTATTTGGATCAAAACTAGTCCAAATATGGGTCAAAATTGATTTGTTTCCTAAATTTTGTCCAAATATATAATTTTCGTTGTATTTTGGCCAATTTTCACCCAAATAGTGATTTTTCTGAGAAATATAGACGACATGGATAAATTTTACTAATGGCATTTGGACAAAATATAGGAAAAAACAGTTCTGACCCATATATTTGGACCAGTTTTCATCCAAATACTGGATTTTATGAGAAATATGGAGATCATGGGTAGACTTTACTAATGGTATTGTGTACTGCGCCTCAACATAATACGAAAGTGATATAATATTTGGACAAAATTTAGGAAAAAAACAGTTTTGACCCAAGTTTGGGCCAGTTTTCATCCAAATAGTGGATTTTCTGAGAAATATGGAAATCATTGGTAAATTTTACTAATGACATTGTGTACTGCGCCTCAAAATAATACGAAAGTGATATATTTGAACAAAATTTAGGGAAAAAACAGTTTCGACCCATATTTGGGCCAGTTTTCATCCAAATAGAGGATTTTCTGAGAAATATGGAATCACGAGTAGATTTTACTAATGGCATTGTGTACTGCGCCTCAAAATAATACGAAAGTGATATATTTGAACAAAATTTAGGAAAATAACAGGTTTGACACATATTTGGGCCAGTTTTCGTCCAAATAGTGGATTTTCTGAGAAATATGGAGATTATGGGTAAATTTTACTAATGGCATTGTGTACTGCGCCTCAAAATAATACGAAAGTGATATATTTGGGTAAAATTTAGGAAAAAAAAAAACAGTTTTGATGCATATTTTCGTCCAAATAGTGGATTTTCTGAGAAATATGGAGATTATGGGTAAATTTTACTAATGGCATTGTGTACTGCGCCTCAAAATAATACGAAAGTTATATATTTGGACAAAATTTAGGGAAAAAACAGTTTCGACCCATATTTGAGCCAGTTTTTCATTTAAATACTAAATTTTCTGAGGAATATAGAGACCATAAATAAATTTTATATACAAAATTTAGGAAAAAATTAGTTTTGACCCATATTTGGGCATTTTCAACCAAAAATTTCACTTTTCTCTGAATTTCATCGGCAAGTCATCAATTGTGACTTCAGGATCGTGTCAGCGCATCGAATTCCCTCGGAAATTATGTATGGGTTCTCTTGGGTTTGAACTTTTTTTATGTGCCTGTTATTTTTCTTAAAAAAGGAAACCCAGAAATTATTAGATTCAAATCACTTATCTTTTAGGATCGACCGCACAAAAATAAGTTAAGATTCGTGTTCGAAAGGTAGGCAAAATTTCGTGAGGACTTGAAAGTTTTGTGCTATAAGTAGTAAATTATAATATACATATATTAATTTTTTTTTTCATGTTTCAGGCACTCAAGCGCAAGGAGGAGGACAGCGAGCGCACCAGCGTCTCGACGCCCCCCGGCTCCGTCGGCGACCGCAGCTGCGCCTCCAGCCAAGGTAAGTGAAGCGCGGGCGGGAAGGGGAGGTAGGAGGGAACGCGTTGCGCGCAGATTAGCGCACGGCCCGCTCAGTTCGGCGCGAGATAAGCAGCGCGATGCGCGATCGTCCGCTCCAGTGTTACTAGATCGTCCGTGAGTGTTTTTACGAGCGCCGTCACGCGATGAGCAGCACCCTGCCGAGGGTGCGGGTGAAGACCCGCGGCAACAAGATGACCATCAAGGCCGACTCCCTCAGCAAGCTGAACAAGACGGCCACCCTGTCGTTCTCGGGTCGCAGGCGTAGCCAGCCCGAGAACAACAGAAACAATAATAACAATAACACAATCCTGAAGTACACAGGTGTGTGTTTCGCGGCGGTGGGACTCGTCGGCACGGCCGCCGCTTGTTTTGAGTTGTTGTGTTTATTTTTAAATGGTGAACGCACAAGCGCAGCCACCTTGGCGATTATCGCCCGATAACAGATGAATGTCGTTTGCGGTTATCCGTTTGTTTCGGCCCATTCGTAATGACGTTAGTTTTGTATAGGTGTATCTATCGATCGATCGGTCGGTTGGGAGACCTGACGAATTTTAAATGCCAGTATACTAATGAGGTAGTAGATCATATGTAACAATAGAATTCCAAATAGGGAACAGTTGACGGTCTTGAGCTGCACTGCAATGCTCACCTTGAACTATAAAGCTGTATAGAGTGGTGTCAAAATTCAAATTGTTTTCTGCTCTTAATTAGTATTATCCTAAACCAGCATAGTGTAGCGGACAAACGAAACTTGGAATCAAAACACAGAAAAAAAATAGCTACACGTTAACAATTATTTTTATTATTATTTATAGGCGATCAGCAATTGCTATCAATATAGGGGATTTTAAACGTAATGAATGATTGCTGTTATCTGTTTGTTTAAAAACATTCGAAATACTTACCGTATGGCTTATCGTTCTCGTTCCTAGTTTGTAGAAAATCAAGGGGGAAAATAATTACTCGAATATTACTCAGAAAAGACGTAGTTTTATCGAAGTGTTACTCAAATAGTACCCAATATGACTTAAATATTTACCTAAGCTTGAACACCAAATTACTCCTGCGCTTTCGCCTTAGTGGAACATGCAAAACTCAAAATTATTAATCGTATATCGTGTTATTTTAATTTATCTAGGTATTCGGTTTTGCTGTTGAATATTACGTTGTTTCGAGTTTACAGAAAATATGCGATACAATAAACGTTAGATTTTATGATGTTGCTCCAATTTAGGCCCCAAAAATTGTTATTGGTCTATTGTACATAGAAATCGCCTGTGGCTCAGCATCAGGTTAGTTGTTCGGGTCCTCCGAGATTGAAAGGTTATGGATTAAAGGATCCCGATTCGTAAACAAATAACTGCCATGAAATTGCGACATTTTTCATCTGAAATTAGAGAAAATTCGTAGAAAAACGATTGACCATATCTCCACAAGTGGTTTAGGGAACTTGAAATTTTTGCATGTTAAGGCAAGTTTGAATATTTCTGTTAATTTTGTTAACTATTTTTTAACTATTACTCTCTATATGAGAAAATAAAAAGGGAAAAACTATTTATTTTCAAAAATACTCCTCAATCCAGCCCTGTCAGGGTAGTCCAGATTTTAACTTTGTCAAATAAAAATAAAATACCGATTTATATTAGTGGTGGGACTAGTGGTATTTCTAAGAAAATAGATCTATTTTATTCGAAGAAAAAGCCATTTTAGCGTTATGAAAAATTGAAAATTGAAGAAACTTAAAATAAAATCACTTGAAAAAGTACTTGTTTAATTATTTTAAATTTTTCATTAGTAAACAACGAAAAGAAAAATAATTTAAGTTTTCTTTAACAAAAAAAATAAATAATAAAGTGTTTTTAAACCATATTTCAACATAAAAACAAATTGAACAGAAGATTTTCAGATATATTCAAGACAATTGCTTATATTTTATTTATAATGACAAAGATAATGGTAGAACCTATCTTATTTTAATAAAACTTATATTTCTTCGAATTTCGAATTTTTCTTGAAATTTTAAATTTCCACAAAAACAATAGCATTTGATTTCATTTGTTTAGTTATTTTTTGTAAATCGTACAGTTTTAGAGTTATTTTTGTTTATTCAGTAAGCTTATTTTTAAATTGAAACTCATGATTGTGAAATTGTTCATTCCCCAATAAAATGGAAGGAATCTCTTTCTTACAACACTGATTAACTCTCCAAAATACTTAGTGGCGTGGAAATGTTGAAGTTCCCCTTACATCTCCGCCACTGGTATCTGTAAGCCTCCCCCGCAAATTTTCGCCTGTAGATAAATTGTTGACCTAGTTTCATTCAGCAATGTTTGTTTAACCCAACACCTTGTACCTACCTCGAAAACAAATTGTTCTGTGCCCATGGTTCATATTGAAACTTTCTGCTGAAAATGCAATGCTGCAAAGTTTTAGAATTAAAATCTGCACCACCCTATACAGTCTGATTACTTTCTCACCTTGCGCTATAAATAGAACAACTTTTTCTATGTCACAGCAAATTATTCCTATTTAATAAATTATCGATGACAGTAAGTGTCGTTTTGCTTCAGAACCTTTCCACAATAACATAGTCACGATACAAAAATGCGTGTCAGTTGCTGCCATCCTTATTTCACAAAGAGCGTGATATTTGCTGTGGAACTAAGACTTGGTATTTAATTAGCTTTATCTCGAGATTATTGTAAGCGTCTAATGTAAATATTAGCCTTTAATGGAATTCTGTCGCGTTTTTGTTTATAACAACTGTACATATCGTATGTTTCAGCGTTTGTATTGATTATAAGTTGCGTACATTTTTTTGTAAAAAACGTATATACCTATACAGGGTGTCTCAATTCGTAGATATGACGTCATCGAATTTTAATGCAACCTTAACCTTTTTTTAAAGTATGTTACACAAACTGCCAAATTTCAATATTTAAATGCGAATTTTAGAGTTTGTACCGTTCTCAAAGCACGGAATATGATTTAAATAAATAAAATAAAAGTCTTTCCACTAGTGCAAAATGGTTTTCAAAGCACTGTATTTTTGCAGTTATTTTTTATATTTGCAGTTTACCGCAAACCGCAACACTTGTCTCGAAAATCAAGTGAACAATCGAACGTTGATTTTATAGTTCAATGTGAAAACAGGACAAAGACAATATTGTTGGAAAGAGGATAAGATGACGTTAACAGTTTTATGTTTCAAAATTTTTTTAACTTACACTCTAAAATAATATTTATTTATAAAAAATTAAAATTTAAGACTTCTATGTAACATCCGGGAACACTGCATAATTGGTCGCACTTTCACTATTCTCAATTTGTTAAAAGGCCAGAATAAAGTCAGTGGTTCTCAACAAGTTTTCTCTTAAAAAGTAACGTATATTTATTTTAAGTGTAACTTCTTTATTCCGATTTTTTTCATAACAAGGTCATTAATTAGATGTTCTATGCTGTACCGCGGTTTAAAATGTTTATATACAATTTAAGATTCACTCTGTATGTACAAAATATGTAAATTATCTAAAATTGTTCCAAATATTGAGCCACAATTTCAGTGTTCTGGAACGATGTACATGTAAAAATATATCAAATGTACCGTCAGATGATCGCTCTCTTATCAAAGTTATCTCATCAATCAATTTTTCAAACATTGCAAGATCTACGCAATCTATTTCGAGCCTTATCGCTATTTTTTTTAGCTCCACTGGATTTCCTCGTCGTCATTTACGATTTCTAGGAAATACGTCAGAATCTAGCACTTTTTTATGTCACCAACTGAATTTATTGCATTATTAAACAGTCGAATTTGCAATTAAATCACTTTTTCTATTTACACCTGCTTATAAAAATATACGTTCTGTCAAAATTTGACGCATGACATTGTTTTTTTGCAGAAGCCGTTGTTCGAAGGAAATGACACAATATTCTTGCGAAACGTCGTTAGAAATTACGAAAAAAAAACATGATAAATTTCCTTTGGATTGTTTTAATCTGTCGTTCATTTAAATATTGCATAAATGTATGAGCTTATAGGTTTCGGTATCATCACGGCTTGTACGAATCCAATCACTTTGCGGTTTGAATATAAAGTTGGCCGTGATTCATCTCGCAGCAATCCTTTTGAATGTGTAAAGAAGCGATTTTTTTTTCCTCTCAGACAAAGACCTGCTCTTTTAGTGGGCGAGTCAGGTAACAACATTAAACGGAATTAATAAAGACGTCAAATTATCAAATAGGTATTCATTTTGACAAAAGCGTTTTTATTTATACTTATTGGGAAAAGTTTTGCTGAAAAACATTGCAGAGTTTTATTTTCTAAAATGACAGTTCTCAAGAGAGACTTTCTGTTGTTTTTACGACGTCACGGGCTTAGGTAATTTGATGAAATAAAAGTAATTATAATCGGAGCAAAACGGCGTTTACTTGTTAAGAAAATGAAAAGTAGGTTAATTGTGGATTATGCCAGTTCCAAAAAAATTGTGTATCTACGCGGAAAAAGTGCAGGAACTGTTTAAAAAATTGTAAAACAAAGCGGCCACCTTTCACTCAACCCAGACGAATAGAGAATTGTAATAAACATGCCTACAAAGTTTATTCAAGCAGAACAACAGACAATGTAATGTAATTTAATAAACGTACGGGAATATGGATATGTCTAGTATAGAAGTGGCTTGTCAAAATCGTTTTGTTTATCGAGTTTGGATTTGTGGATGCGTCCTAATCATTTCCTAGCTATACTGGGTGTCCTTAATGCGACTGACCACCTTCTACAGGGTACAATTCAAAAAAAATCCAAAATATTGAATTTTTTTAATGTTCGTAGATTTTTTTTTTCAAATTCTGATTGTAGTGAGTCTTTATTTACAAAAAACTGCCGCTGAATGTGTCTCGGTTTTTTGTTTTTACCTTTATTTTAATTCCACCGCATCATATTTATTTTAACACTACGCAAGAGGGGTATTGAAAACTATT